GTCATCCAAGTATAGAAATGGCCAATTTCCACACTAGTAACAAAAGGCACTCTTAGTGTTTAATTTCCCTTACGCTTCTATTTTATCGAGGTAGCAAACTAGTTTAAACTCAAAATCTCTTTCTAAAAAAAAACAACTGTTGGATACAACCCTCTGATAGCTCAACTGTAGATAAAACTCGGCAAAAAATGTAAATATCTCACGAAAGCTCTCATAGCTCAACTTTAGATAAAACTCGGCATTCTCCGGTGAACTCTGTTCACGCCGAAAACAAAAACTCCTTTTTTCTGTATGTAATTTAAACCGTGATCACTGAAATATTGTTGCTTCTTTACTTTTGTCATTTATCAAGCCTGGTTAATTACAAAACTTTTTGTGACAAAAGGCCTCCTTAACACGTTTCCCTTTTTTAAAAATTGCTTTTAATTTTACACCATGGTTTCACTTAGGCCTTTACACTTATGGATCCTACACACTTTATGGCCTTTTCACTTATGGATCCTATACACTTTATGGCCTTTTCACTTATGGATCCTACACACTTTATGGCCTTTTCACTTATGGATCCTATACACTTTATGGCCTTTTCACTTATGGATCCTATACATTTTATGGCCTTTTCACTTATGGATCCTATACACTTTATGGCCTTTTCACTTATGGATCCTATACACTTTATGGCCTTTTCACTTATGGATCCTATACACTTTATGGCCAACACTTTATGGATCCTCACTTATTTGAACACAATTTAGAGAGTTCGACAGACCTCAAAACAGACTAAAATTTAGCTAGTATCCAATTATGCAGACTTTACATTTAAAAAGGTGTCTGCTTACCTTATTCTTGTCAAACCGGTTCCAAGGACTGTCCGAGAGGTCTGCCAACTCTTTTCCGCGTCGGAATATTCAATTTAAACGCAAAAGTGACAGAAGCGACAAGAAGCATCCAGGAACAGCTCTTCCAGCCTGCTGGAATCTCCGCTCCCAGACACAGCATGCCGGTCTCTCACGCCGAGGAAAAGAAACAAAGCAAACTCCCTCAAAACAATCCAGAGAATGGCGCACACTGAGCCGCACATCCTCCACCAAATCTGTCAGGGATGAAGCAGACAGAGACGGATCGTGGTGCGCCAAACTCTGGAAGTTTATTTAAGTTTCTCTCAAGTTCCAGTGGTTTACTTTGTTTCTTTCTCTCAGACAGAATAAAGGCAGTACACAGTTTATATAGTCATTGTCACGTCACACATCGAAAGACATACGTGTCACAAAGAGACAGTCCAATCATAGTCATAACATGGAGTCCTTGTACAGTCCTGCACGTAGGCCAAATTGCTATCTAATACTAACAAGGCTTAATGAGGAGGTCTCAAACGGACCAATGAGCAGCACCCATAGACTACACTAATGGACCAATGAACAGCCCTCTTTGAATATTCCGGAAGTGAAGCGTTTAAATTTCCAAAACACTACACTGCAGACATTAATCTACTTCTGACAGAGCCGCGTGTCACTTCCAATAGACAGGGCTAATGTGAGTGCCCCGCGCCGCCACATACAGCCCAGTCACATCGCATCCATCTCGGATCACGAGGTGGGCTTTTCCACACACTGCCATGCTCACTGGCACACTCATCATTTGTTTGTTCCCCATGTTTGGTTCTGCTCTACTGTCCCTAATGCCTACAAAACACATCATTATGGAGCTTACACAGGCGTACAAGTGAAGAGGAGCAACAAATACATGTTTGTGTATTTGAATAAATACGAATCTGCTGCTTATTTGAACTCATAAGTAGTTCATGTAAATTATGTTGTGGTTATATATTCAGTCCTGGATATATAGATTGTCCATCAGCAATGTGGGCATCCCAGATGTTTCTAGATTTTTTCCCGTCTGGGTTTTTGACTTGTTCCTTGCCGATAAAGAAGAGTCTAAAGACAGTGGAAGCAAGCTTTGGTCCAGTCTCGGAGGCCTGTACCCTGATTTAAAGTAGTACTAGAATTTAATATGCTGCTATCCAGAATATATAACTACAATATGTGTTTATAATATTTCGGGTGTTCATTTTGACATGTTTAGATGAATTATGTTAAAAAAACGGCTTTCGAGTGGCACCTTTATAAAAACGCTAGGGGGAGCCAAAATGGCGGCGATGACGTAGGGGAAGGGCATCTCACAGCAGCAGCAGCAGTCTTGGCTGAATCTGTAGGAGGTTTCACTGTCATCTGAACAAGGTATAAACATATTTTCATCCGTTTTGTACATAATAGTGTGCAACTCTTTTAATCTTTTAGCCTTATTTGTGAGATTCAAGCTAATTAGTGTTGGGCAAGTTAGCTAACTCTACTTGATATCATAAAACATGCTAACAAGGCTAATATTTGTTTTTACTTTATGCCAGGCTCACTGTGTTTGCCTTGAATTTATTTACCACAATGTACATTGTAATATTCAAAAATGCTAATCAAAATAACTTTAATTAAATAAATATTTTACTTTTATGAACAAAAAGCTGCAGAAGTTGAAAACATAGACTACATGTGATGCAATCATTGATAAAAATGCTAATTAAACCGTTAATAGGTGTTAGCATTTATGGATATTACAATGTACATTGTGGTAAATAAATCTAAGGCAACCAAAGTGAGACTGGCATAATGTAAAAACGAATATTAGCCTTGTTAGCATGTTTTATGATATCAAGTAGAGTTAGCTAACTTGCCCAACACTAATTAGCTTGAATCTCACAAATAAGGCTAAAAGGTTAAAAGAGTTGCACACTATTATGTACAAAACGGATGAAAATATGTTTATACCTTGTTCAGATGACAGTGAAACCTCCTACAGTTTCCAACCAGACTGCTGTCCGCTGCTGTGAGATGCCCTCCTCCTACGTCATCGCCGCCATTTTGGTCCCCCCTAGCGTTTCTATGCGGAAGTGAAAAAGTGCCACTTGAAAGCCGTTTTTTTAACATAATTCATCTGAACATGTCAAAATGAACACCCGAAATATTATAAACACATATTGTAGTTATATATTCTGGATAGCAGCATATTAAATTCTAGTACTACTTTAAGACCACAAATGAGACCATGCCCTCCCAGGTTTAAGAGAAGGCCCTGTCCTCCGGGATAAAGCCTGGACATGTGCCATTCATCTTTTCTGATAATTAGCCAAATTACCTGCTGCTATTATTACTATTGTTTATCTGGTCGTATTCTCTGCTGATAAAGTAGAATACCAACAATTTGTACATGTGAAAGCTCATGACTGCTGCTGATTACAGTGTACTCCACAAGTTATTGATCTTTGACTCAAGTGCAATTATACTTAAGTTCATTATCTTATTTTATTATTCAATTATCTTGAATAATACATGTGTGAATAACCTGAGTGTGCCGATTCTTCCTTAAATTCTGCTGTAATGTGTGCAACTATGACATTGAAATTTCCCCACTGAGGCATGCGTCCCCACTGATGGGAAAGTTTATCTTATTACATTTAAATAACAGGAAGTACATATATATTTTATTGTCATTTCCCAGAATAATGATTCTCACTGTGTCATAATGGGACTAACGATACGATAAAGATATGTTTGTTCATTCATTCATATATTATAACAGAGAACACACCATCGTTCATGTGGCACCGAAATGTGCCTGTCACGCTTGAGTCATATATTAAAGAAATGAAAAGTGACATCACATTTGTGGTTTGCGTGTGTGCTGCCGTTCCTAATGGCTGCAAAACTCATCATCACCAAACGCTACAGGCCTGAGAGAGCAGGAAATCTGTGTTTTGTGTGGAAAGAAAAAAGTAAATTATAAAGTTCAACAGGCGAAACAGTGTTTACCCTGAGAGGGATGAGGAGAAAATTAGAGCAAGTTATATGGGAAAGAGGAGGGGGAAAGAATGAGAAGAGAAGAAACCAGAGGGGAGAGAGAGAGATATAGAGAGGGATAGGAATGAGGAAAAGAGGAGGGAGAGAGCAAGAGTAATGGTGAAAGAGGAATGAGATAGAGAGACAAGAGAAAAAACAGAGCAAGAGAGGGAGGGATAGAGAGAGGGATGAGGAGAAACCAGAAGAAGAGGGATGAGGGAAAGAGAATAGAGAGAGAGACAAGAGAAGAAACCAGAGAAAGAAAGGAGTGATTGAGAGAGGAATGAGTAGAAACCAAAGAGAGGGATAGGGAGGGAGGGATGGATGGGGGAAAGAGGAGGGGGAGAGCGCACGGAGCAGTGAAGCTGGAGGCCACTGAAGAGAATGATTTAGGAACAGGGTGGTGAAAGATGGCCAACCCGGGGAGGAGCGCTGTAGCGGGGTTCATGGGCTGATGGTGGGAGGGGCCCTCAGACACAGACAGGAGACGACACGGCAGCGCTGGGGGCCGGCCCTTAATGACATTCAGCAGTTGATCCCTCCAAGACACAAACATGAAAAAGGCATACTGCTCCCACTGCGTCACCGTCGTACTGGAGTTCATAAACATGGACTGCAGCTCTTTTCAGCCGGAGTGATAACAGTCTAATCCCGGTCACAGAGGATTCACAGCCACATTAGTGAGAGGCGCAGACACAGGCGCAGCGGCCCCAGGGAGCTGTCCGCTCTGCAGGAGGTGTTGTCAGCACACTTCTGTCCCACGGACATATTTAAACAGGATCTGCTGTGTGCACTAGGCCTTTATCTAATGAACGAGTGTGGCCTCACGCTGTGTCCAACTGTCATCATGTTGTTTTTATCAGGAATATTAACGCACTGATTCTATGTTGAATATTAAGGTGATTTGCATGTTTTTTTTTTTTTACAATGAGAAAATCAAGTCACAGATTGGGTTTACAAACAGTGTTGGGTAAATTATTCAAAAACGTGATACATTAAGTAGTTACATTCACCAAATATAAATATTCACATTTACACACACGTACACCATGCAGTAATGATGCCCATCTCAGGACCAGCTGTAGCTTTGTTGTCATGTCATGTGACTGTTACCTGGTTTCCGAGGAAGAGCGCTGGTGCGTTCCAGTAGTAAGACGGACCCAGCTCCTGTAGCACATCTTTGTGTCTCACACTGAGATACGGAGGAGGTTCTCTGTCCACATACAACACTGTGGAGCCACTTTCCCCCAGCAGTTTCCACCCCTGCAGACTGCTCTCCTGAATACAGCAGACAGACAGACAGTGAGGTCCTGAACACAGCATGAGGAGAATGACAAATACACAAATAACTATCATCAAAGCACCAAGGTGTAGAACATGAAAGGGCAACTGTTTTCCCCTAGGGCCACATTGGGGTAGGGTTAGGGTTAGCGCTGTAAATTATAATAGCAGTAAAGTTTCAAGTTGTTTTTATCCCTTTTTATAATAATAAGAGTTCATAGAGTGGAGGGGCACCTGTTGAACTTTTATACATTTAATTTAACGCTTTTCTCCACAGAAACTCTAAGCTCCAGGGAGAACAAGGACAAAGCAGTTACGCAAAACTGCCACCATGAATGTTTTCCACTTTGTACATTGTAAAGAACTTTGAGTGACCTTGGTCTGTAAAAATGCACTGTATAAATAAACATTACTTACTTACACTTTAAAGCTTGTCTAAATGAAAATGTCTTTAGATTTATTGACAGCCAGGAACGATCTGACAGCCCAGTAGAAAGCTTACAGTGCCCCCCGAGCCACACATTGCCTAGGTCAAGTATAGAACATCCAACAGGAACAACCACAACACCCAGAGGAACGCGACAGGACAAGGGTGAGATAAAAGCAAACCCCTTGATTTTGTGCTTTGTGATCTTACCATATACTTTCAATCAAACTTTATTTATAAAGCGCTTTTCATATAATAAAATGCAACACAAAGTCAAAAATCAATACAACATGCCCAATAAACCCCAAAGACCCACCCATAAACCACCCTAATTATTAGATATACATCAAGATGCATATACCCGTACACACACACTCACACACATACATACACTCACACACACACACATACACACACAGAGACATATAAAATCACATCAGACAGGTAAAATAGGTAAAACTTACTGCTAATTTACACATCACGTGTTACAGCACGTAAGCGTTATACGCGCAGCAGACGCGCGTAACTTTTTTCCATGTTAACCAATGATGATATTTACACTTCTAGCGTTATACGCGCGTATGACGGACATGTGACGCGAAGTTGCGCTCTAATTTAGGATGGATTTCTAATTTTGTGCGCGCACCAACGCGTCTCCCATTGAAATCTCATGTAAAACATGATTTTTCTAGCGGTCCTTGACTCTAGATCACATCTGCACACACACAGCACTTGTATCTAAACATCAGCAGGAGGAGCAGCAGGTTTTACAGTGATTCTGGACATAGTTTTTTTTCTTTCATAAAGTCTCGCGTCTGGCCAAACCAGCGCACAGAGACCATGAGGACAAACACATGCATGTGATTTGTGTTGCTCTACATCAGTCCTCTGGCCGGTACTGTCCTCTGCACTGCTCCATAGACTACACAGGGAGAGCATCAGAAGACGCGGACCTGCGCGCACGGCTGTGTAGATACTCCAAAAAAATGTTACGCGCAGAGAGCGCGCAGTAAACGCGTACGCGCTGTTTACGCCTACTGTGTAAATTCCCCGTAAGAAAAGATATAGGGCTGCGTGCGGATGTATCCAGCTGAAGAAGCGCCATCCAGGGAGCCATCTGCACCAGGAGCAGAGAGCCGCTTGCAACTGCAGGGGACGACACAGGACCCAGAGGAGAGAGGCGGCCCCAGACCCCCCACCAGGCCCCCATAGAACCTGGAGGAGAGAGGAGGCCCCAGGCCCCTACTAGATCCAAAAAACAGACCCCCGCAGCCACAGCAGACCGCCGCTCCCAGTGCAGAGGGCCCCTCCAGAGAAAACACTGGGGATACTAAAACAAAGAGTAAATCATCTACCTGAAATTAACAATAATAAGAGTAAAACAGCTACCTAACATTAAGTGACAAAACAGAATACGTAAGATTAAATAAATAAATAAGAACCAAAATAAGATCTGTCTAAAACATAATAAATACTAATCAAAAGCTAATCTAAAAAGGTGTGTCTTGAGCCTGCTTTTAAAAATATGAATGTTCTCTGTTGTTCGCTGCTGTCGCCACGGTGAAATCATCATCTTCATCCTAAAGCCATAGCCAATACATTCCCTTGCACACTCCCTCATCACCGTGACTTACTGACAGGCAGAGCTATCACAGCAGCTACACGTGTCAAACTGACCTTGTTGAATAAATGAAGCGTCAGATTAGCTTTGAGCAGATCACTGGGCCTTGAGGAAACACACATTAAGTCACTTGTCATGTTTAGTGTAAAAAGCTGCATGAGCTGAGCAGCTGCTGTGGACGTGTAAGGCAAATCTCTGAGACTAAAGCCTTTGGAGCATAGTTTTATCTTTTAGCAGGGTAGCTGTGATTTCTCCCATTGTGTTAGCCAAAGGCTGAAGAGGCCGATTTGAACATAAGCAGCGGTTCACACTGTAACAAGAAGTGTTGCTAAGACGGTTTCTAAAGAAAACTGGAGTTTCCCCTCACAGACCTTTAGGAGTGCATCCTTGGATAAATAAACCACAGTCTTAAGTTTGTTATTATTTCGCAGTATAGAAATTCCTGATTGTTACGGCTTATGTCCTTTAGATTATGGGACTAAGATAACTAGAGGAACGCAATTAAGATTCTATCGTCTGTTTCAAACTGGTGGCCCTCTTAACATATAATAACTTTCCCTTCTCACAAATTGGGTCTAATTAATTCATTTCTAGTTCTGGACTTGTGGGTCAGAGACTAAAAATGCTGAGTGTAACACAAACAGTTACTGAGCTAGAGGAGTTTGTCTTTACATGAAAGTCAGTAGGACCCATGGAGAGTTAGAGCCATGCCTCACCATGAGCATTTCCCTATTGGGCTCATGGATCTATAATTATAACTGGATAGGGTATTACTAGCTTATAGCTGTCCCACCCATGGGCACAGCCCGTGCAGACTAAATTCACGTGGGCTACCCATAGATCTCAATGTAAACTAAAACAGCTCGACCTCAGATGACAGAGAACCTACAGCTTTCATAAAGATCAGGTTTTGTGAGGATTTTAGTGTTCCTTGTCATCCTGAACTTTTTTCTTCTTAAATCCTTTGGTTTTCTTTAAATCCACACTTTACTGCCACAAACTCTGCTTCTTTCCTTCCCGCTCTGACTCCGCTCTATCACTGCTCTGATCAGCAGTTCTGATGGGTCCGAGCGCGGCTGAGCCTCTCTGTGCTTGTGCATAAGAGCCACACACGCGTATTAGGCGCAACGCATCATGGGAGATAATCCACTGCGCAGAACCGGGAGGACCAGACGATGCTCATATATAGCCGAGTTCCTCTGATATGTCAGTGCCCGTGAAGTCCCATGTGCTACTGAGGACAAGCCATTAATTTGAATAGGTCGCCATCTTGGATCACCGGGGCTTGATTGGGCTTCATTGAGGTTGCTGGTTAGCATTGAGCTAACAGGTTAACACTGTCTATCTGTATATAGTATACAGTATGTATCAAATAGCATTGTTTTCTCATTAGTGTCTGGTGTATATTGTCAAGTCTATAGGGACCTTTTCCTTCTACAGTTTGTCATGACCTTTTTGAAAGAGACACTATATTTTCCCGAGTGCCTTTACAACACAAAGTCCCAATCAGATAGAGATACTTTTGTTTCCCCTTTCAATTCAAGGATTTTCACACCTATGTCAGACATCAAGCAGGAACACCCACAACCTTGACAGGCGCCATGTTTTCCTTCTCAAAGTGTGTGTGTGTGTGTGTCTGAAGACAGACAACTTACCATTGCAATTAACCTGACCTTGGCTTCCCCTTTACCCTCTTCTCCCTCTCTCACAAACACACAGACATACACACATGCACACACACACCCCTATCGTGGTCTAAATCGGAGCTGTCGTCCTGTCAGCGTCTCTTCCTCTCTCCTCTTCTCATCACCTGTCACTCACTTTCTTTTTTTTTTCTCCCCAAGCCCCCTGCCTGATCTGATCTGTTTTTGCTTTTCCTTGTTCTATAAAAACAACCCTTGATTTAAAGAGAATATAATACAGATTGTTTAACCATTTAATCTGATAATGGGACTGTTTTGTTATTTACTGTGAAATAGAATGTGAAATAATAACTTTAGTAGAAAATATATGGAAAAAACAAGGATGAAAGGTAAAACAGGCTGTCTGCCTGTAACTCTGTGGGCTACCACCAGCAGGAGGAGTTGAATTTGTGCCTTTATTTTCCAAATGACCAGGTGCAAACAAACCAATTTCACTGGAAAGTTCGCCAAAAGGAGCATGATGTCATAGTGGTACAATAGACCATATGCACGGGGAGGCGTGACGTCATTTCCTGTAAACAAAGAACGGCTCGTTTACTTCCTGTCTGTGCTAGCGCTGTAGCTTTGTGGTGAGTTGTAGTGACGTTTTTTAGTAATTAGATTGATACATTCAGCTCTAAGACCCAAAAGTGTCGACGTGCTTTATCTCTGAGGAATTGACTGTGGCCACTCAGAGAGATTAGTTAACTTTATATACGCACAATGACAGCATAATCAAAGAGCATTACTGTGTCCCAAAAACGCCTAGCATCCTCCCCGTTTTATTCCTGTTTAAGCATTATTTAGGGAACACGTGTAAACATCTGGTGAACTCAAGTGAAACTCAAGCCGATCCCCACTCACCGGAAGTCAAGTGTCGTTATAACTAAAACGCGGAAGTGGTGCGTGCATAGAGCCTGTTACATCATACAATTACACGACTGAGACAGTGGCATAGACTGTATACGGATTGACAATGCTAACCTGCTCGCACAATGAAGCCCAATAGGGAAGTGCTCTTGGTGAAGTTTGGCTCCAACTCTCTGATTCTTATTGACTTACATGTAAAAGTAAATTGCGTTACTATACATGGAATTAATTGCGTAGTTCTGTGTTGTTTCAAAGTTAGGTATTCCAGATTTGAAATGCAGCTTAAAGCTGCACTAACTGACTTTGGGATTTTGAAGCCGGGGACTCGCTGGCCTCGCTCTTTCTGCTCCCCTCCCCGTACCCACGAAGCTATCGCCCCCCACACACACACAGTGTT